TGGTATCTTGAGGTGATTTTCATCCATGTATTGGTGTAAATTCACTCTCACTACTTTATAAAGTTCTGTCATCCTTTTGTTATCTTTGGGTTTTTTTAACTTCACAAAATTCATAAAAAGCTCAATATTGACATCCATGTCAAGTTTACAAAGCATATCTTTTGGTATCTTTGGGTTCTCTCACAAAATTCATAAAAAGCTCAATATGCACACCATCTAAAGTAAATTTGCCAATGATGATGAATCTGAAGTACTTAATTCTACTGCACTCGTTGCAGATGATTCTGCTAAGTTTTCGTAACCAAGTGGGGATTTGTTGAAAGCTTTGGTGTCAATTTCACCATGGGAAGTGGAAACTACTATTTTGCCACACCATGGAGTTTTAAGTTCATTATATCTTTTGATTTACTCCATAACTAGTTTAACAAGTAACAATCATCAATAATTTCAGGGATCAAACATTTCAACTATAAAAAAGTACATTTACAATTACAATCATTTCTGGTGAATGAATTTGGTGTTCTAAATTATTGAGAATTACACCTAAAGGAGACAATATAGCCAAAAAAACAAATTTTATAAAAAGAACTGTGTTAATAAGTTCAAATTCCTTGCTCGGGGTGAAGATACACTTGCTATAGAAGAAAAAATTGGCACTTCCTACAGCTCAAATAAATTCAATTACCCGAAGAATGATATCACTACTATCTAGTAGAGAAATTACTAAAAGAATTTGAGGACTTCTCCAAAATTTAGTAAGTAAAGCATAAAATAATATCAGGACCAATCGCCCAATCAAAACTAACGACAAAAGCTTCAGTGTCCATAATCCCAATTTTGAATTTACCAGTCTAAAGCCTTCATCAGAAATGCTCAATACCAGCCCACGCCAGAACAAAATTCCTATCATTCCATGCTAAGTGGACCGAAAGAAGAATGACCTCTATTCATCTTTTGCACACAAGCGCTCTGAAAGAACACAAGGAAACAACAATAGAAATCAAATTTCAAATTTTGGGTTTTTGCAAGTATCATGAGAAACCACATAGCAGGACTTTTCAAGTCGGGAAAAAATGAAGAAGAAGAAGCCAAATGGGAGGAATTCATCATTCCTGAATATATAGATTGCGTAAGTGTTCTCCCTTCACAGAGTGTTATATATGACTTTTAAAGAAACTTGGGCCTAGAAGTTGAATCTTAGGTAAGGAAAACATGATGTGAAAGAAAGATCATGAAAAGACCCAAAATATACGATAACGAAGCATAATAGGTAAGAGTCCATACTCAGATATTCGTAAGCCAATATCATTGACGTGCCCCAGGCTGACATGCTGAAAAATCTTGGACCTAGCCCTCTGTAGAAACCTTTCCAGCCATCATCTCTTATCAAGCCTTTAACAACTTCTCTTGCAGTGGGTCTCTTTTCGTGTCCCATCACCTATAGTGCAGCAATAATTATTTATTGAAAAAAAACACATATTAACTTGGTCAAATGAAGATGAGCACGCTACAAGCTAGCAAAGTAACCACATACATTAATTGGTTATGTGAATACCTGTAACCGAGTCTTTATGGTATCCAATGGGGTTGTTATGCAGGATGCTGTTGCACCTGCAACAATTCCTCCAGCAGCTTGAACCAACACTATTTTCCCCACACCAGGAACAGATTCATCAGAACCACTTCCATGGCCTAAGAAACTGCTTAATGAACCAGAATAATGCAACAGTGAGATATTTTGACAAAAGGGTATGATTCACCTAAACTCCTTCACCTTAGTTCTTTCTCTAAAGGGAATGAAGTCCATTGCCCTTAGAAGTAGTAATTATAGAAGTTCATTGGCTTAATGAACTTTAGACTTCCTATACAACTGGATCGTTTATCTAAGAATAAAGCATAACAGCCAACAAAGTCACAGTACCTGATGATTACTTCCAACAACTCGTACTTCCTAATTTTCCCAACATAACTATCATGTTCCACTAACGCACTCAACTGGAAACCACCTAAAACAACCATCAAACTGATGCATCTCCAAAGTTTTAATGTGTTTGTCATGGCCACAGGGCAAAGAAACTCATATCATTAAATGAAGATTGCTGCTTAAGATAAAAATAGAATGTCCAACAGAAAATCTCAATTACACATTGCTGACACTCATTTAAAAGATCTAAATTTACTGAAACTTACTTGGCCTAGTCTTAGAATAAAAGAGCTCTATCAACACAACTAGAGTCAATAGATAACAGATTACCATGTCTCACCTCCAGATTAAGCGCTGGCTTGAACCATAACTAGCCCACCATACAGCGCTAGATGGAGAGTAAGTCATAACAGAAAGTCCAAACCCTCTATACAATCCCCGGATGCCATCTGACTTTATAACCTTACGAGCAACATCCATCCCCCCGCTGTACTTTGCATGGCCCGAATACCCTTGCACCATCAATCTTTGACTAATCTAAAGAAAACTCAAAAATTAGTTATCTCAAACCCCTAACTACAAAAATGCTCAAACAAGACATGTGATAGAGCCTGTTAAGGTATTTACCACATCAATAGGGACAAACACAGCCTGAGAGAAAAGTGAGGCAGTCATCCCAGCTAGTCCATTAGCCAAAGCTGCCTCTGTAGGCTCAGATAACTTGAAGGGCTCAACCATCTTGAAAGCAGCCACCTTGGTGGTCTCCAAAGCAGTGAGAAATATAATCCTAGCAGGAATTGCACCAGTGATTACTGTGCCAAAACCTCTGTACAAACCAGGAATACCATCTGCTTTCAAAATGCCTCTAACGACAGAAAATGTATCCCTCTCTAGAGCATCTTTGGAAGCAACTTGAAGCCTGGTTTTCACAACAGAAACCGGGTACAGTGCCACTGTGACCCCTGTAAACAAGCCAGCTCCAACCACATAAAATTTAGTCTTATCAAGCCTGCATAAGTAGGGATACAAACTTATGAGTTCAACAGCACAGAATATTCACTAAATTGAGAAAAAAATCCATATTAATCAATCTGTGGGTAGGTTTTAGATTTCCTTTCTAATTCCTTAATCAATCCAACATTTCACAGCATAAAATTTAGTCTTATCAAGCCTGCATAAGTAAAGATACAAACTTAATGAGTTCAACAGAGCACAATATTCACTTAATTGAGAATCAAATCCATATTAATAAATATGGGTAGGTAGGTTTTAGATGTCCTTTCTAATTCCATAATCAATTCAACATTTCCCAGCAATACAGTCAATCAATCTACAGCACCAATTTCTCTACAAAATATAACAGTTATAACCCAAAAGATAACAGATAAAAAGCAAGCAATGGGATTTGTCAATGAATCAAACAAAAAGTGAAAATCGAAACAAAGAACATACTTGTCCCAATTGATTTCGGTGTTGCCAATGGAGTTGGGCGCAGCCATGGGGTCGTCGAAATTGAACACAACAAAGAAAGCCGAATCTTGGGGGCGAGTCAAGAACTCATCTTTCGGAAGCTGAAATGTCCCAAATTTTGGGAAACGGGATCCGTTAAGCAAAACGGTGTTTGGTCGAAGCTGTTAACGCGTGAAAACGAAACAGCAAGAAATGACTTTTCCCGAGTTTTGGAATAATTTTTGGGAGAATTTCGATTGCTTGGAGGTGGCGTGAAGTCAATTCGCTGACTTTTCTGTGTTTCGGCGACTCATGCCCTGCGGTCAGGAGGACATAGTTACAGTGTAGATTTGCAGGGTCATAGAATAAATTTTTATTATATTTTCTTTGGTCAAATTAAATTTTTATTATCATTTAACCTAAATTTTGTATGTGTATTTTTTGGGTCAAATTTTTTAATTTTTATTTATGGTCAGTCAATTTCCTCTTTTGTTTTCAGAAGGGAATGCTTTTGTTGGATTTTTCCACGCATGTTTGTCAAAGTAACAGTACACTTTTTGGCAAAAAATATAAATAACAGTAAACATGAAAAATACAAATGTATGTGTACAATACGAGTATTAAACGTGAAAAATATTAAATTTATGGATAATAACTCTGAAAAAGTAAAAACTTAAAAATGGAGAATAGAGACTTGGGTAACGGCCTAATAGTTATGGATAATGTTCTAAACTACTCTTATCGATAAAAAAAAATGAGGGAAAAACAATTATTAAAAAGATCACAGTATCTAAAGCGTATAGCCGTGCGGCTATACTATTTATAAAAAAGAATTAAAAAAACAACCCCAGTAAAGCCGTGCGGCTATACTATTTATAAAAAAGAATTAAAAAAACAACCCCAGTAAAGCCGTGCAGCTATACTCTTTCTATATATAAAAATAATTCGACGTATAGCCGCGCGGCTATACTATTTAGAAAAAAATATAAATAAATAAAAAGAGGACCCGCTTGTAATTAGTTTCAAGGAATTGCTTGCGTAAATATCCTTACAATGAAAAGTTTCCGTGTGGTGTGGGTCACTATGTTGTAAAGGGTAGAAATCAATTTTAATTGTAAAGGCAACTTTGGAAGTTGGAGCACTTGTAGACAAATTGACTACAACAATGATAATGGGTAAAACGTGTCATCCAGTTTCAGTTTCTACATGCTTCTTCAGATTTTGCGAATAATGTAGACTACTTGCTTGTGGGATTTGTCTATTTTGTGGTTCTATACTTGCTGCATGCATACTATATTCAGATGTATTTGTGAATTCTGATTTATATGTTGCTGCATATGAATCTTTTGAATATTCAGTTCTTTGGGAATGTGCAAGAGATGTGGTAATCTGAGGATGATAGCATGCTCAAGCTCAAGATGCAAAGGAGTTGGATTAATCAAAGAAGGTGGACTGTTTGGTTTAAATCAAATTCATGACCGCTATGAATCAGTTGGAGGTGGTGATTCGAAAGTAAGATCCATTTCTTGCACCAACTCTAAAACATCTGTTAGAATTTGTTGAAGTCATCTAAATTAAAATTTTCTTCAGCTAGTTAATCAATGTCACTTGCTCAGTCACACTACTTGTTTGGTTTGGTCCAATTATATAGGGGAGGGAAGTTTATGAACCAACTTTAGACAGTAGACAGTAGAGATATAGTTTCCATCATATATACATTCCAAAATCTTTTTTATATTTTGATATCGTGGTTCATACTACTTCTGCAATCTACCCATTACCCGCTCTCTAGCCAGATTAATGCCCCAATTGAACCGTATTCATCCTTGGTAAATCTGATGTAATGCTTATGGTCTTGCAAACCCAGAACACATAGGTTTGAAAGTCAAGAAGTCTAAAACCTTCTGATAGATTTCCATGGTATGGAGCCTGGGGTGGGTGGCTCTGTCGTTGAGGGAGGTGGTTACTGGGTATATTTTTTCAAGATAAAAATTAGGGCTAAATTCAGCTGTAACGAGGCAAATTTTAAATGGAAGTATCATCAGCTGACGTGGGGATACGGTACCATTCTATAATTTCTTTGTGATTTGCATGCTAATTGATGATGATTTTTTACTTTAAAAAATAAAATTGTCGTATGTCACGGTGTAAGTTTGTGTTAGATTATGTGAGAGCCTCAGTTTAAGTTTTGTATAGGGCAACCAAAATCTCAAGGCCGGCCCTGGCAGGTACTGACAGTCTACAATACTCCAAGACACGACCCCCAATACATAGGCTCAAGGTCCGCTATGTGCACATTCATAGTCGGATATAGGTCGCTAAGTCACAGAACCATTGCCCAAAAATAATAATCAAAAGTATAGAAAGTATGAAGGTAGAAGAAGAGAAAAATAGATTGTGGCGTATCGTATTGTGGTATTTAGTAGTATCTCAAATATGAAGGAGGAGTGACCTTTTATAGCAAACATACATGTAACGGGGATAACACTGTTTTGCTATCCCCGGCCAATAACACAATGATACGTGGAAAAGTCATCCTACGTGTCATCACATTATTGGCCGGGGATAGCAAAAAGTACCATCCCCGTTACATGAGAGTTTCTCTCCTTTTATAGGCATCCAAGAAGATGTAACCTCCACTACATTAAACTAGAACATTAAAACATTCAATATAGAAATAAAACCTAAAAATTGAATATTTATAACCCCACAATAAATAAAATAAAACAACCAAAATAATTAAACAAATCAAAACAGTAAATTGTTTAAAACCTTTTTTAAAATTCCAACATTAGCAATATGAAATACTGCTACTCTTTCTTATTAAGAAAACCTAAGAGACAAGGGAGAAAGAGAGAGCTTAGTTAATCGATTATAATTTTAACAAAGCAAAGCAATTGTCAATGTTTTTGTTGAGAGTATCCCACAGAACAACAATATAGAAGGGATGAGATGAGGATATCCCACTGAATAACAGATCGAAACATGTATACCAGATATGAAAATTGGAAAATGTGTTGTTCATCCCAGAATCCTAGTTGGAAATGTGCCGTGTTTATATTGACCAAAACGTACCAACACTCTCCCACTATTGTGCGCGGCAGAAGCGGATTTCACAAGATGACTGAATATGAAACATGTCAATTAAAAACAAATATGCAAATATAGAAACCCAATAACCAAAAATGTAATTAACTCTATTTTAAATTGGATTAATTTCAGTAACATTTTGGTATCTTAGAGTTGTACCCTGTTTGTCCATGAAATCATATATTTTTACATTAATAAGTACTGGTCACACTAGCTAGACTGAATCAAATTATTTAAATTGTTTTGTAATGTTAATTTAAAACAATTCGTATCATTTTGACAAATGAAGCAACGTATTAAACGGTAAATCTTCACTCTTCCAATGATTGAAAAAAACACAATGAAAAGAAAAACGATTCATATTCAGAAATTAATACGTCCATGAGAATGCACTAAATATAATAGAATATTATTACTCAGATCAAAATTGATCTTCTTTATTAGTACTACAAGCAGAGAGCTGAAGTGTTTTTGAATTTGAGCAAGTTACAAGCTCATCAATCATTGATGTCTTTTCAGCAAGAACAAAGACAAGCTCCGCCCACACAATTATTGCAGTTAGGAGGATTACAACCAAAGCACTGGCTACTAGATTCACATTCTAGATGATAGACTTCCGACGACGGGGAAGGGGACAAAACCTTCTTCGCATGTTCAAATTTCCCATTTTTAACTCCATCTCGCAAACCTGAATATATGTATATCCAACAATTAATTTGAAGACCGACAACAATATAATATAGTATGCACATTACCAAGATATTTATAAAAGGGATGAGATGAGGATATGCTTACCATGTGCCACAACAAGGAGGAGAAGCAAGCACACTGTTATGGAGGAAGCCTTCACCATTTTTCTAAGTAGAAGTAATTGGTTTCTAATTTAGTACTGAAATTCTCCTCTCTTAGATTAGTGGTGGTATTGGTTGTGAGTCTACAGGTCAATATTTATAGGGGTTTTATATTCATTATATTAATGATCATATCTGTGTCATTCTCTAAATAGCATAATAGTGATTCTCTAACCGTTTGTGCGTATATGCAATTTTTTTTATGGCCACAAATTGTTTTTTTTTTCTTTTTCTTCTTTGTCGAGCTGATTTTGTACATGATGACATTAAATTTTCCGTTTTCATTGAAAAATTTTCCGTTTTTATTGAAAAATTTCCTTCTAATCATAATTCACTATTATTGTAACCGTTGGACATTCCTTTTTCCAATCTTTTTTTCCTCTCATTAAAAAAAAAGTACTAAAATGCACAATCAACAACAAATCCAAATGCTTATGAGTATTTTGATTCATATAAGGATCAACAAATATTTGCGGAAAATGTGCCTATGTGCCTATATATACACGTGAACGCTAATATGCATTTCCTAAAATATGTTTGAAAATATAAGGATGTGTGCCTTTCGGGTCGAGCCTAGTGTAGTGGTATGGTCTTGCAGATTAGTGGTCTTACATTCGAACCTCCGTGACCCCTTGGCAATATGCGTGTAAGAAAACACAATGATTCTATACTCTTTAAATATATTATGTTTTAACTATTATTTAATATAAAACAAAATCTACAAAATAATTTAAATTAATTAATTACTATTTATTCAGTCATTTATGAAATCAGTAACATATTTAAATATTCACTAAAAAATAATAACTAAAACATAATTACTAATTAAAATAATTCAAAAAGGCTAAGATATTATTTAATTACATATATTAAATTAAAGAAGTTGGCTGAAAAAACAAAAGTAAAGAAATTAATTTTATTTTTTTGAAATTAAAACAAAA